CTATGATAACACTGAGTGTAAAATGGCATTGACATTGTGAGGTCCAAGAAAAAAGTTCTGGATCAGAGAAGGCTTCATGGAGGAGTTAGCATTTGAGTTGAACTTTAAAGGACATATAGAATACGGGGCGGGGGGCGCATTTCAGGCACACAGCATGAGAAAAACACAATGGTGGGAGAATACAAGGTGTATTCAGGGCTCACTTTGGCTAGTATGTAGACTACTGTGAGGGTGGGGGTGGGGGTAGAGCAAGGCAGTAATATGAAATAAGGCTATTTCTCCTTTCTGCTCTGGTTCTATGAAGACTGGGCATTTTTCTTTTAAGATTTCTTTAAATGTGTCTAGGCTCAATTTATGATCATAGCTTTGAGATAATACAATGATTCTTAAATTATTCCTCCTCAATCTCTTTTCCAAGTCAGCTATTTTTTTTCCCTATAAGATAGTTCATATTTTTTTCTATTTTTTTTTCAGTCTTTTGACTTTGTTTATTTCAATGGTTCACAGAGTCATTAGCTTCCATTTGGCCAGCTCTAATTTTCAAGGAGTTATTTTCTTCAGGAAGATTTTGAACCTCTTATTTCTTCTTCTTTTTTTAAAATTAATTTATTTTGAATTATCAACAATCACTTCCATAAGTTTTTGAGTTTTAAATTTTTCTCTCCCTCCTTCCCCACCTCCCTTCCCAAGACTGCACGCAATCTGATATAGGCTATACATATACATTGAACTTCTTATTTCAAGCTGCTAATGTTCTTTTCCTATCTTTCTTCCCTAGCTCTTGCCTCTTTTTCCATTCTTTCTTCTATTGCTCCCACTTGGCTTTTGAAATAATTTTTTAGCTAATTTTTTAAACTCTTGCTTTAACTCTTCTAGGAATTCTTGTTAGATCCACATCCCAGATGCATTTTTCTTTGAGACTTTGCTTGTTGATGTTTTCAAGTAGTTGTCTTCTCAGTTTGTGCCTTGAACTTCCCCATCACCACAGAAGTTCTTTATAGTCACTTTCCTTTTCTGCCATTTGCTCATTCTTCCAGCTTCCTTTCTGACTTTAGACTTGATGTTAGGTCTGGGCTCTGTGCACTTGGGCAGGAGAAGAGATGTCTGGCCTGGGCTTCTGTCCTCTTATGTCTTTCTGCTGCTTTCACAGCTCTAGCTTGGGGCCTGCAAGTATTCAGTGCTCTCAAAGTGCTTTGATCAGGGAGAAGTCTGTTCACTGGCCTCCTAGTCAGAGCTCTACAAGTTCCTGATCCAGGTTTTATTCTGTTGGCTTGTCCTTGGTTGGGAGTTTCAGCAGAATGCTGCTAGACTTAGCCTGCTGACACCTTCTCCAGGTTTATAGCTACTGATCCCCTACTGAACTATGTACTCCCCTTAGGTGTGGTATATTGTGCTTTGCTCTGGGGATCAGTTACCCACACAGCTACCATTTGCTTCCCAGAACCTGTTCAGTGCTTGGGCCAATGCGCATGACTTCTCCTCTTCTCCCTGGATCTGTGACCCAGCACTGGCTGGTCAGTGACAAAGCTGCCAGGTGGCCACCTTCCTTTACTCAGTGCTTGCTCAGGGTTCCTCTGGGGTCTCTTTCTGGTGCCCTGTCTCAGCCCTCTCTCAACCTCTGGGCACTGGAATGCTCTCCCTCCACTGTAGCCACAGTACTCCTGTTAGCCCTTTTCTCTAGCATCAGAAGACTTCTCAGTCTATCTCCCTGTGTTTCCCTGGGCTGGAAAAATGACTTATTATGACTTCTTCGTGGCTTTCCTGATCAGAATCCAGTCCCGTGCATTTTCTAGATCTTTGTTGTAGAGATGTGGGGGCAAAGCTAGACTTGAAAGCTTCCTCTCACTCTGCCATCTTGGCTTTACCTCCAGTCAACATGTGTTTGGGATTTTCTCCCCCAGGATGCTCCGCAGTCCTGGAGCAGGGAGAAGAAGGCAAGAAATCAGATGGTGGGGTCAGGCAAGGATAAGAAACAAAGACGGGAGGGAAAGAGAGGAAGGGATTCTAGGACAGTAGATAGTGACACAGCAATGTAGCTGACTATTAGTTGGTTACTGATGCAAGTGAAGATGGTGAAGAAGAGGGATGGTCCCAAGAACCAATCCTTCCTTTAGTTTACTATGTGGGGCCTCTCTACTTTGGAGGACTCCACCCCAACAACCTCCACTACTTGTCCTAATGAATCTGGGAGTGGAGACTCTCCTTTTGGCAGGCACAGCTCCCAATCCCCATGTGCTAGGTTCCACCAGCTTTGGTGCTGCCCCATCCCTGATCCTCCCAACTGAAAATTCTCTCCCACCTCAATTTTTCTTGAGCTCATTGAAGGGCAGCTAGGTGGTGCAGTGGAAAGACCAGATCTGGAGTCAGGAAGACCTGAATTCAAACTTAGTCTCAGTCACTTACTAGCTGTGTGACTCTGGGCAAGTCACTTCACCCCTGCCTCAATTTCCTCATCTGTATTTGTATTTGACAAGCAGAAAGACACAATTCCTGCCCTTGTGGAGCTTACAATTTATGATGTATACAAGTTAGTCTCTAATCAACAAGCAGGTATCTGCCATACTGTGCTAGGTGCCGTAGATACTAATAGAAAAGTGATACTGTCCCTGTCTTCAAGGGGCTTGCATTTTACCAGAGGGAGGCAACATGTTCACAGATGAGTAAATACCAGTTATGTACAAAATAAATATACAATGTTCTGGAGTGAGACCAACAACTGGGTAAATCAAGAAAGGCCTTTACGGGCAGCTAGGTGGCACAGTGAATAGAGCTCCGGCCTCAGAGTCAGGAGGACCTGAGTTCAAATGCAGCCTCAGATACTTGACACTTACTAGCTGTGTGACCCTGGGCAAGTCACTTAATCCCGATCGCCTCACCAAAAAAAAAGCAAAAAAAAAAAAAGGCCTCTAGAAGGAGGTGGCATTGGAGCTAAGGCTTGAAGGATAATAAGGGTTCAAGAGATGGAGATGAGAGAGAATTACAGACACAAGGAACAGACAAAGACCCTCTGGTAATTGTAAACTTTATATTGTTTGATGTTATAATTATAATGACAGGACTCCAATATGGCATCACTTAGGCTAAGTGGTCTTAATGCCTGACCATAAAGCATTTAGGCAAAGACAGACATGGTTAACCTTGTTTCAGGCAGATAAGGCTGTCAGCTTCTGATTGGATGAAACTCTTGACCTGTTGTAAGCATCTGAGCTAGCCCTCTCTTCTGCTGCCTTACAGGACTAACTTAGTTTATGGTCCCAGTAAAGAAACTCCCCCTCCCCAAGCCTCACCCAAACTTGGTATTCATGAAGGACTCTAAGAACTTCTCTCCCACAATTGGGTCTGATTAGGAATGCCCCCTTCCACATCTGGCACCAATTCCCTGTTCTCAATTCTTAAGATTTCACCAACTGAACCCTGACTTTGGCATGTTTTGTCCCCTGACATGTCTCCCACCCCCTCACATTGGGTGAATTTCTTGCATCCATGGGTAGGAACCTGTTTATATTGCCATGTAGTATGTGTATGTGTGCGTGTGTGCGTGCGTGTGTGTGTGTGTGTGTGTGTGTGTGTGTGTGTGCGCGTGTGTGCCTTTTTTTTTTTTTTTGGTTTATTTACTGCTCAGAATAATAATAAAACCCTTGTTTGTATCAGCTTCCTGAGCATCAATTTCTTGCAAATTCCCAAATCCAGGTCTTTGCTTTAACCCAACCATGAGAGCAAATAAAGCAAACCTGGAAGAAGAAAGATGGGATGTCATGTATAGGGAACAGCAAATATGGCTAGAATGTCTTGTTGTTTTTCGGTCATTTTCAGTCACGTACAACTCTTCATGACCCCATTTGGGGTTTTCTTGACAAGGATGCAGGAGTGGTTTGCCATTTTACAGATGAGGAAACTGAGGCAAACAGGATTAAGTGACTTGCCCAGGGTCACACAGCTAGTGAGTGTCTGAGGCTATATTTGAACTCAGGAAGATGAGTTTTCCTGACTTCAGGCCCCACATTCTATCCACTGCAGCGCCACCTAGCTGCCTCGACCTAGCTGGAGTGTTTAGTGCATGAAGAAAAGTCTTGTGTGATCAGCCTGGAAAGCTAAACAGGAACCTGGTTGGAAAGGGCTTTAAATGCCAAACAGAGGACTTGGTAATTGGTCCTAAAGGCAGCAGAGAGTCACAGAAGCTTCTTGAGGAAAGGAATGACCTGGTCAAGCCTGTATTTTAGGAATATTGATTGAGCGGCTGCATGGAGGATGGAATGGTCTTGTGGAGCAAAAGAATGAGCCACATGTGGACAGTCATTTTGGCACTGTACAGTTTAGGGTTCTAAATCACAATACTTCTTATGCAAAGGTGAATGTTGTGAGCTAATTATTCTAAATCTCCATCACAGGTGGGCCGATAAATTTTGTAATACATTTAAATCAAATTGTTTATGTAGACAGAGGCCCCCCCAAAAAAAATTTTTCCCACCTCCCACCCTCCTGCACACACTACGGATGGCCCTGCCAAGGACCAGGGGCCATGATAAAGAGTGAGAAATAGGATAAAAATGAAACAGTAAAAGAATTGAAAAGATAAAAGGCTGTATTCAGAGAGACAGATAGATGATAAAACATTGATGAAGTGCCTACTATGTGCCAGAGGGTACAAATAAAAGCAATAAAGATAGTCTCTGCCCTAAAGGAGCTCACAATTGAGTGGTGGAAAACAACATATAAAGGAGAGCTGGTAGGGTGAGGCATACCACACTTGGCATGGATGGAAACATCCAGGAAGCTTCGAACCAAGCAAGATCAAAGACTAGGGTGGCTCTAGGGAGAGGCATTCCATTCTCAGATGGGGATGACCCAAGTGGAGTACAGACAGCATAATATGCCTGTTATCAAGAAATACCCTGTTTTCAAGTTGACTCCATGGTTTCACATCTTGTTTTCTGACCAAGGAAATCTAGGAAGGTGCTTGTCAGGACTTCTGTCATCCATGGTGCTTCTCTTCTTTGCAGCTAAGAGATTACATTTGGAATGGAAACTGGAAGTGCTCCAAGGGAAACAATTCTCATCATTCTCCAGCATTACATCTCAGTACATATCCTTCTGAGAATATTCCAATAGCTCCTAACTCCTTCCAGGTAAAGTCCAGGCAAAGAATAGAACTTGAAAGTTCCAAATCTTAGAGATAAATGTAATTCTAAGAGATGATGAGGTCCTATGCTTGTGTGTGGCTATAGTGCAGTGGCTGGTCCCAAGGGTGGGCTGGAGCCAGCTGGAACTGCTCACTTGTCAGTGTGAACATTTCCACCTTGGAAATCAGTAAATGCTGCAAATCAGGGCTGGATTGATTGCTTGATGATTGTTAATTGCGTGATGGAGAAAAATGTTAATGCAGATCTCACAAGTGTATTGTATATACTTTCTTTTTTTCAGAGAGCTGATTGTTAAACATTTACCAGCACATCTGTGGAGTTCATTGGAGTTAAAAAGATTAAAGAATGGAGAATGTGGTTTGTTTCAGGGACCATCAACATAAATATCAAAGTTCCTGAGGTTGCTGGCCACAAACGGACTGGAGAGGAAGACCACATGCCAAATATTAAAGTTCTTACAGAAATTGGGAAGGTAACTGGAAAGTCAACAAGAATAAAGACGATGTCAACAAGGATAAAGAAAGGAATGTTAGAGATGGACTGCAGTTCTATAACTTGGTTTATAGCTGTTGGTAGTTTGATATAACACTAAATCTGTGAAATGATTTAGGTAATATCATTTCTATTCTATCAGACAGTTGCAACCATGAACAATGAATGTCTCTACAATTGTCCCCCCAGCCCCCCACTGCTTGTGCCTTCCCTCAGAGATGACCTCCAATTTACCTTGTATCTATCTTGTATGTTGTCTCCCCCATTAGACTGTGAGCTTCTTGAGGGCAGGGACCCTGTTTTTGTCTTTCTTTGGAACCCCAGTGCTTAGTACAGTGCCTCATCCATAGTAAGTGCTTAATAAATGTTTGTTGATCAACTGTTTTATGGTTTCTTTTATTTCTTTGTTGTTGTTGTTGTTGTTGTTGTTTGGCTAGGCAATGCGGTTAAGTGACTTGCCCAGGGTCACACAGCTAGTAAATATTATATGTCTGAGGCCGGATTTGAACTCAGGTCCTCCTGAATCCAAGGCCCATGTTCTATCCACTGTACCACTTAGCTGCCCCTGTTTCTTTTATTTCTGTAAAGTACATTTTTTTTGTATTTACCTAAGTCCTTATGTGTCTTATAGGCTAATACCCAGATAGTTTACAGATTTTCTAGTTAATTTGAGTGAAATTCCTCTTTTTTCCTGGATTTTTTTTTTGAGTAAAACACAGAAACACTAATGATTCTATTATTTGCTTGATTTGCTGCTTGCTTGACTCACTTGATACTGATTCAGCTCCTTTTTTTCTTTGAACCTCTTCAGTTCTCTAAGTAAGCCATCACATGAATGGCAGATGGATTTAGTTAGCCTCCTCATGCCTGTCCTTATTCCCTCAGGTTTTTTTTCTTGTGTCTTTGCCATTGGTAGCACCACTAGCACCATTGTAAGGAACAGTGGAGACTCATGGGGGCCAGGCCTTGGGAGGTACCAGTGACAACCTGAGTTCTAGTCTTTACTCTTCCCTCTTAGTGTGGGGGAAGCAATATGTACATATAGAAGTAAAAAGAAAATACATACAAAGTCATTGGGGGGGGGGAAATAAGTGCTATCAGCTTAGGGAGAATCAAGAAAGCGCTCATGTAGGAGGTGGCACTTGAACTAAGCTTTGAAGGGAATTAGAGAATGAATCTCAGAGGCAGAAGTGAGGAGAACATTCATAGTATGGAAGGGAGGAGATAGTGGGATGCAAAGGCACCCAGGAAATGTATTGTCTTATGCAATGATAGGAAGTCAGCCAATTTGATAAGAATGCAAAGTCTGTGATGGGGAGTAACATGGAACAAACTTAGAAAGGTAGAACGGAGTTAAATCATGAAGGGTTTTCAATGCCCACCAGAGGAGCTTGTATGATCCTAGAGGCAATAAGAAACAATTGCGGGGGGGCTAGGTGGTGCAGTGGATAGCGCACCAGCCCTGGAGTCAGGAGGACCCCAGTTCAAATCCAGTCTCAGACACTTAACAGTTACTAGCTGTATGACCCTGGGCAAGTCACTTCAACCCAATTGCCTCACCAAAAACAAACAAAAAAACCCCCAAACACTAGGGGCAGCTAGGTGGTACAGTGGATAGAGTGCTGGCCCTGGAGTCAGGAGGACCTGAGTTCAAATGTGGACTCAGACACATAACACTTACTAGCTGTGTGACTTTGGGCAAGTCACTTAACCCCAATTGCCTTACCAAAAAAGAAAAAAGAAACAAAAAAAAAGAAACAATTGGAGCTTTCTGAGCAAAGCATTGGCGTGCTCAGGCCAAGTTGGCAGCTGGAGTTGAGGGAGACCTCTAGGAAGTGATTGGAAAAGACAGGGCCTAAAACCAAATGACGATCTTGTCAGAAAATGAACAAAGTGGGCAATAGGGGAAAGGGAAGAGTGAAGGATGACAAGATTTCAAACCCACTTGACTAAAAGGATGGTTGTACACTCGATTTCAAGAGGGAAGTTTGGAAGACAGATGGATTTGAAGGGGAAAATAACAATGAGTTCAGAGGAGCCAAGCACAAATTCCTGGGGCACTCCACTGGAAATCTCTTGCTGTGTTGACACTGAAAATCCAGCCACCCAACCAGTTCTGAATCTGATTGTATCATATCTATAAAGCTCAGTACCTTCAACCACTTTATAACATTTTAGTGATAAGAGACTTACCATGTTCTTCCATACTTGTATCACTGATATTTATAGATAGAGAAGAATTCAAATAAAGGGCAGGGGGTGGGGGTTGGGGTGGTATGTGCTAGTAAACCCTTAAAACACTGTTCTTTTAAGTTTAATCTGCATTATTAACATTTTCTCCACCACTTAATCTTAAGTCTAGAAGTCAACAAAACAATAAATTAAGGGTTGATTTGTAGTTTGCAGATTTCTGAAGTACACAGAAATGCTCACACTGAAAATTTAACAAGTGACTCTAGGAGTGGCTCCAGCACAACCTTTCTGCAAAGGTGAGGGAGAGGGGAGTTGGGGGCATGGAATTTGGGGGTACTTTTTGGGGGCCTTTCTCATTGATATGAGATGGCTCACAATGAAGATTTAACAATCTTTTGCAAGCTGGTTCAAATTGGCACCACTGAGTGCTATGGTTAGTATCCTCTTTCCTGAATGCTTTGAACAAAATTAAAGACACAGATCTAAAGTCAAGTCCTTCAGGGTACCCAGTGCTCCTTTTACATCCACAATTATACCAGAGACTGACTGATGGCTAGTGCAGAATTTTTGTGATCACTTAAATGTGATTAATATTCATTCCTTTGTAAAAACACAAAATCTTATAGAAAAATCAGTGTCTAGCAGAGAGAGTGGTTCATAGCAATATGATTTAAGAACATCTGATATTTGAATCAGTAGCTTGTCAAGTGCTTCTAATATTCCAGCTATACATGCAGTTACACAGTTACTATGGAACATGGGGGTGTGGCATCAAAAAACATCTAATGCATGCACAAGTGCTTTCAACTCTCAAATGCAAACACTGCACATGCAATGTGTCCTAATGCCACCAGGGGTCACTTCAGCACCTGTCAAACTCATCTCTAGTAAGATTACTTCCTGGTAACTTGTTGAATGCTAAATCCTCACAGCATCAAGCACGAGGGTGAGAGGCGGAGGTACTTGCTTCATTTGTAGTAAATTGAGGTAGTTTAAAACTGCTGCCATATGCTCACATAAGGAGACGATGAGAGCCTCATTTGCAGAAGAACACTAGCTGTGCCTTCCCATCACTTCTCAGAAGCTCTAAACTTCCTTTATCTGTTGCGATCAGCCCAAGCCCCAAAACAAACTCTTTTCTTTCTTTTTTTTTTTTGGTTAGGCAATGGGGTTAAGTGACTTGCCCAGGGTCACACAGCTAGTGTTATGTCTGAGACCGAATTCAAACTCAGGTCCTCCTGAATCCAGGGCCGGTGCTCTAACCACTGTGCCATCTAGCTGCCCCAACAAAGTCTTTTCAGGACCTGGTTTTGAAGCATTTATTCATTGAGGCTGGGTTTTTGGTTTTGTTTTGGTTAAGGAAAATGTCAAGAGTTTGGTCAAGCATATAACTTTAAGAGAAGACTGAATAATGCAAACTGTTTATTTATTTTGGTTAATTAGTTGTGTCTCACTCTCTCTTTTTTTGGCTAGGCAATGGGGTTAAGTGACTTGCCCAGGGTCACACAGCTAGTAAGTGTTATGTGTCTGAGGCCGGATTTGAACTCAGGTCTTCCTGACTCCAGGCCTGGCACTCTATTCACTGAACCACCTAGCTGCCCCAAAATTGTTTATTACCTAAGGTTTTCTAAGTGATGGCTCTTGAGTTTTCAATTCAGTTAGCTGCTGTCCACATTCAAAATATAAAGGATGACTCAGGTGCAACGAGCTGAGATACCTAGAAGTAGAAGGCAACTGCCCTGAAAACCTGTGAAGCCAACAGTGACTTTCATACTGTGTTTCTGCATTCTGAGACTAACTGAAGAAGGAACAAAAAACACAAGCCGTCAGAGCTTTTAATGATCAATGGGCAAATGTATTCATCTCCACAAGGCAGAACACATTGACAGCAGGTAGGGACCAGCAGGAAGAGTCCATGGCAGGTTTGATGCCAGCTAAAGAGTTTCAGAATGCATCTCTCCCCAGTTAGCTGTCTTACAGGGAGGGAAAGGAAACTTGATCTTACGGCCTGGAAAACAGCTAACTAGTTACAAAGCAGGCCCTCAAAAGAGCTACGAGGACAGTAAGGAGACAAATGAGGCGAGGTCATCTATTTTCTTCAAACATCCTAGAGCTTAGATTATGGCCACATGGGTTAGGCTGCTCCCATAGTACAGGTGCTAAGTATGAGATTGGCCCAGTAGAGCCTGAGGAAGGACATGGGTAAGAAATGTAAAGTGTAGTCATCAAAGTCTTCCTCCTTAGGATGCCATGCCAAGAAGAAAGCCTCCAAAAAAGCCTCCAGTCACAAGTACGTTCTTCTTCACAAATGACACGACCTGGTCACAGAAAAAAAAGAATCATCAATTTCCCTTGCTAAGGACAGAGCATGACCCATTACTTTCATGAAAATAAATTAAGGATCTTCTAGCTACTTCATAGTAATATTTTGGGGGTAATCCCAACTTTGGTACAAAATTATTTGTTCACCTTTGTAGGGTCAATGAAGAAAACAAGGTAAAGGAATGGAATTTTCTTTCCTCCATCCCAGACATAAGACATATTTAGAGAGAAGGGGGCAAAGTGAAAGTAAGGGGCATCCCACCCTCCACAACCTATATATTCTTTGTGACCTTGAGGACACAAAGTCAAAGCATCTCTAAAACATGAAGCTAACTAACAATCATCTATAGGATTAGAGCTGGAAGGTGTCTTAAGGTGAATCTAGTCCAACCCTCTCATTTCGCAGAAGAGGGTGAAGTTCAAGGAGGACAAGTGATGGAACCGAGGATTTGGCCACCACCAACTGTCTGTGGCTGATCACTTAGTCTCTTTTCTTGGGAGTCTAGTACATTTCAGGTGCTTCCCATTAGGTGTTTCTTGCTGTTTCTAGAGGTATACAGGGTGTAAAGAGCACTGGTTTGGCATAAGAACCATATCTGAATCCTGGCTCTGCTACTCATTGAACTTCTCTGGGCCTCAGTTTCCTCATCGGTAAAATGAGGGTGATATACTAGATGATCTTCTTTAAGGTGTCTTCCTGACCCTGTGAACACCACCCCCTGCTCCCTGATGTTGACCAATAATGTCTCACCTTGGTTTATACGTTAAATGTATACCCACAAAGTTATATGTGAATTCAACATCTGA